AAAAAAAAAAAAAAGAGTCTCATGAGTACTTTTCTGCCCTGGCTGGCTTCTAACCATGATCTTCCTATCTCAGCCTCCTATGTAGCTAGGATTACAGGAGTGAAGCCACTGGAGCTTGGCATGATGTAACTTCTTCTACAGCATACAGCCCAATGGATGGATTTTATGACTAAAGTCTAAACTCAAAAATTAAAGAAAAGTAACTTACTGTTGCTGCCTCTTCCAGGGCCTGCTTGTTTCCTCCAAGGGCTTAAAAAAAAAATTAGTTACTATCAGATTTGAGTAATAAACCTTTTTTGTGTGCCAGTACTGGGGCTTGAATTCAGGGCCTCACACTCTTGGCTTTTTCACTCAAAGTGCTACCACTTGAGCCATACCTCCACTTCTGCTTTGGGCTTTTTGTTTGTTTGTTTTTGGCAGGTTAAGTGGACCTAAGAGTCTTTTCTGCTCAAGCTGGCTTTGAACCAGTCCTTAGATCTCAGCCTCCCAAGAAACTAGGATGATAGGTTACCTTTCTAAAGCTGGATAGGATTAAGCCCTAGGTCTAACAATGAAAGAATGTCACAATCTCTTTCCAAGCTTGATTCCTCCCCCTCTTAAAGGAAAAGTGCTCTGTGAGATTTAAATGTAGGATAAAACCTTAGATCAGATCTTGCTAGAAACCCTCATGGTATCCTTTACTGACAGAGTTAAGATCTCAAGCTTTACAAATAGAATGCCTGGAGCTCATGAATCCTCTGCTACTAAGGAGCTTATGAGACCAAAAGCACAGTAACCTCTATGCCTTATTCTTGTCATTCTAAAAAAAGTACATTAACTTGTTAAAGATAAAATTAATGCTAATGCAAAACATTTGGTGGCATGCCCATCTGGCATAAGAAACTCACTGAGGCAGTACTCCAGTCTATCTCTTTTGTAATACTTACAAGTCTAAATACATACCTGTATATGTAATTAATTCCAGAAGTAACAGTGTCACTGACACATGTTCAACTTTTTTAGAAATGAGCACATAGATTTGTCTGGTGTACTTGAGCCCCTGAGTTTGTTTGCTAGTACCAATAAGAAGGAACCATTAAACTGGTGGCTCACACCTATAATCCTAGCTACCCAGAAGGGGAGATCAAAGCCTGCTAGCCTGAAAGCCAATTAACTACCCCCCAAAAAAAAATCCAGATGTGGAGCTGTAGGTCAGGTGGTAGAGTACTAGCCTTGAGCAAAAAAGCTCAGGCCCTGAGTTCAAGCCCCGGGACGGGAATGTGAGCCGGGTACATGTATGTGCTTGCTTGCTCGCTCGCTCGTTCGCTCGCTCGCTCGCACGCACGCACGCACGCACGCACGCACGCACGCACGCACGCACGCACGCACGCACGCCCCCATAACTATTAAATTCTTTGTAAGCGGAATATGCATTGCTATCTAGGAAGAAAGCAACACACAGGACCATTACTAAGTAGGAAAATGAGAAATTAAGGGTAACAATAGACAGTATCTGCATTTCCTTGAATATTTTAACAAGTCATTCATGAACAAACCATTTATTCAGTCATTTGTAAATGGATGAACATAATACACACACAAATAGTAGTTCCTAACCTGTGGAAATGAACATTTCAGAGTGTCCGTACATAAAATTTTATTGGAAGACACTCCATTCACTATACTTGTTTTGGAACTGTAACAGCAAAGATGAGCAGAGAACCCTCTGACCCAAGAAACCTAAAATCTTTCTTACCCTGCTTTTCAGAGAAAACAGTCAGGGACTAGATGACAGTTAAGTGCCTTTGTGGGGAAAAAACGAAAAGGGGAGAGGGATGGAGCAGCAGGTGCTCCATAAGTGAACTTAGCCCTCATTTATCTTCTTGCTGCTTACCACAGGTGCTAACGATCAGTTCCTACACGGACCACGTAGAAAGAGGAGACAAAGTAAAACCACCCCCTATGCGCCTCAGCCAGGCTCTGGGCCTGGTGAGTATTGTGAATGGGGAGACAGGTGGAGGAGAAGGGGACATCAGAGCGAGTCCTTTCTGAAGGCCACCAAGGGAACTACAGTTGGGCTACAAGCCGAAGTAGACGAGGTAGTGTGTGTGCGTGCGTGCGTGCGTGTGCGTAGGGTGAAGGAGCGGGGCCTCTAGCAGCTCTTACCGAAGTACTCGAGCCAGTTCATGTCGCGCAGCGCCCGGGGGAGCCGCAGGATCTCGATGTTGTAGAGGTTGTCCACCTCCTTGAGGAGGTTCTGCCGGTCGGCCTCGATCTGCTTCATTCGTACTTGCACTGCCAAAGAGACACAGGCCCCGGGGGGCGGGGAGGGCGTGTGAGTCGGCCTCGCCGGCGCGCCCCACCCGCTGCGCCCCGCACGGCCCCGGGGAGCCGCGGCGGCCCGGAGCCCGCGCCCGCTCCTCACCTTCACGATCGAAGTCCTTGAGGAAGGAGGCGAGTTTTCGGCTCCGCAACGAGTTGGTCTTGGTCGCCCGACTGTTACGCTTCCGGGGAGCCATGGCGGTCGGGCGGAGGCCCAGCTTCAAGGATCAACGGCGGAGGCAGGGAGGAGAAAACCAAGGAGCTGCGCGGGACGGAGAGGGAAGACGGCAGTCGTCCGTGGGAGTCCTGGCTTTTTCCTGACCCAAAGCTCTGGAAGAACCGACTCTCATCGACGCCGCGGAGAAGCAGCGGCTCCGCGGTTAACCGCCGTCCGATTCAAACTTCATTGCTACCAGTTGGCGAATGAGAACTCGCCGTCTTAGGACAGCATCCAATCACAAGGAAGCTCCTCCCTTTCTCCTCAGGCAGCCAATCCTTGAGGAGGACTACAGCGCCCAGACGCCTTTGCGGCTTTACGACGTATTTCCCCTCCCCCCCGCCCTGCCCCGCCCCCCAACCTGGTAGTAGCTTTTGAGCTTGCGCCTAGGAGAGCGTGCGAGGCTGTGTGCTGTTTCTGGTGGCTTCCTTGGTTTCCTTAGCTTCAAGTTTTTCTGAGGGAGCGCGACTGGGCAACTTTCAGGAGAGGAGACGAGACCCGGGCCCTGAGGAAGACCAGGCGGGGCCCCTGAAAATCCGCAGTGAGAAGCGCTCGCAGAGGATCTGCCTGGGAAGGCCCGCGGCCCGGTTCCTGAGGTGGGCCGCCGGAGACCCTCCCACGGGGTGGGAATGGGTACCTCCCCTACCGCCCTGGCCCCCCGACCCTATTTGTTGTTGTTTTACTTTTTCCAACAGAAGATGCCTCCAGGGCAGCCTTTGCTTGCTGTGCAGGAGGCCCTGAGGAAGTGCTTCCCCGCGGTGGAGGAGCAGCAGGGCTTGTGGCAGGGCACCGTGCAGGACTGCCAGCCCCTGCTGATCTCGCTCAGCAACCTGGCGGAGCAGATGCAGGCCGCGCAGCGCCTGCGCTTCGAGGACGTGCCGGCGCTTCGGGCCTTCCCGGACTTGCAGGAGCGCCTCCGGCAACAGCAGCTGGCCTCTGGGGACATCGTCCTGGACCAGCTAGCCCAAAGACTGTAAGGTTCCTGGGCGCTTCCTCTTGAGGGAAAGATCTTAAACCTAAGTGTCTTATAAGTAGTTCGCCTGATCAGAAGGGTGGCTTTCTCCTTCCTATCCTTACGTTGCTGTGGGACCTCTGTCAAAAGCTATCAGCTAGATGGGTGGCTGGTGCTAACGCTTTAATACTAGCCACACAGAAAGCTGAGGTCTGAGGTTCGCGTTTCAAAGCCAGCCCGAGCAGGAAAGTCTGAGAGACTCTTCTCTCCAATTAACAACCAAAAACCTGAAGTGGGGACTGGGAAGGTGGCTCAGTGGTAGAGCGCTTATTTTGCATGCCTGAGGCCCTGGGTTCGATTCCTCAGCACCACATAACTAAAAAGAAAAAAGCCGGAAGTGG